TAAACAAATAATAGATGAAAACGTTAAAGTTTACATTCATTTTAAAGCGTAGCCATTCAGCTTTCTAACAGTGGGTTGTTTCTTAAATTTGACTCATTGGTTCGCGGGTAATAATACTTTACGTTATTGCGATTGGAGATTAAAAAATTGAGATGGAATAACAAATCGTTCTCATGAAAATAACTGATTTTTTCATTAAAACAAACAAATGTTGCATTTTATTAAATGGATTGTAACAATAAGTATAATTACGGCTTTTCTTCCACTATTTTTAACTCAGTTTGAAACTTCAAATGCGATATAATTTTGGCTTGGACCATCTAAGCTGACTGACATCAACTTGCTATAATTTCTGTTTACATTACATCGCAATTCGATGACACTCTGGCTCAGACACCAGAATGTTTTGACGATTTTTAGCATTCGTTTAGGATTTTCAAACAACCTGGTCTCTTTTAAAATACTTTTAATTTGTTCTTACGTGGTTTTCCAGATGTAGTGACGACAACATTAAAGTTTAAAGAAGAAAATTCTAACATTTAAACCGACTAAACAATAACATAGTAAACTTGCATAATTAAACAGCAACTAAAAATGGTAGGTTTTACTAAATCTTTTCCTGTGCAATTATTACTAGCATTGGAGACAAGGATAATAGTTTGTTTGAAAGAGAAAAGAACAGGCTTTGAAGTAAGCCTAAAAGCGTTTAACTAGAAATAGTATTTCGAAAGTTATTAAGCACAAAAGATAATTGCGTTTATTTTGATACACCCTGTATATTATATAAAGATATTAATAATAAAAGTAAACAAAACTATCCAAATTATCAAATGCAAACTGGAAAGCAGCTCAGTATCGTAATTGGTGATGAATGTGTTGGTCAATCTTGGTGGAATTATGTATGTCAATACAGTGCCGGTTTGTGCCGGTGTATATTTACAATGTTCATACCTGCAAGTTTTTTTTTATTATAAAAGTGTATTTTCCCAATTTAGATTGGGTGCGTGGGTCATGAAATAAATTTGGTGAGATTAGATGGGCTTTGAAATTTTTATCTACATCCTAAGGTGGGTCACCAAACTTATTGGCAACAATTGTGATTTACCTCCAGCCAACCCTAGCAGTTACCTTACTTTATGACCAGTCCCTAAAATCAGCTCAGCATGATGGTAAAGTGATTGGTCAGGAGTTACTAACAGAACAGTGGAGAAAGGTGTGCAGCCGATCCTACTTCACCACTCCCTCGGATGGGACAAAAGGATGATTATGATAATGAAAGTGAATGATGATGATTATAATAATGAAAGTGGTTATTATGATAAAATGAAATGATGACGGTGATTATTTTGTGATGACGAAAGTGATGATTTAAATAGATATGATGACGAATGTAAGGAAGTAGAATGAAGTTCTGATGACGGTGATGCTGATTATGATAGTGAAAATGGTGATGATGAGGATCGTAATTATAGTGATTATAATACTAAAAGTGATGATAATGATTGTAATGATGAAAGTGATGATTATGATTATGAAAGTGATGATGATGATTATGATTATGATTATGACGATGAAGTTTTCTACGTTTGTATCTAAGCCAATTTATAATAGAGGCCAGTTATAAGACCTATATGTAAGAATAGAATAGCACAAGAAAACTAAGTAATAAAATTACACAGTCCAATATTTACTTATGGAGGTAATTTTAATATTTAATTAATGTACGCTTCTAAGGTTCTATTCTACGCTTCGGTAAACTGAAATAATAGCAATTAGCTATGGCCCATTTCAATTATCCAAAATTGTAATTCTGGAATGAACACGCGTTAGCTTGGTTGCGTAAAACTGAACTAAAAAAGATATGCCAGTATCCTGAGAAACAAGGGTTACGGGGAACTAAAACTCTTAAGCAAGCACCGCAGTCCTCAGAAATATACAAGTTATAATAACGTACTATTTTAGTAGTATGCGGAAAACACTGACTTCCTTGAGCTGAACATGTGAAGGGAACGTATGCAGCACACAGTACGACTACGAATTTGGCAAACATCTTTGAATCAAACGGTCACTTTGATCTAAACAGAAAATAAAAGGAATGAAAATAACGGTTGCTATTTTGGATGGGGGAGAGGTAGGGAGGTGCACTAGTTTAGACCTGGAGAAATATCAAAAGTCTCCGTTCTCGAGAAAAGGTGATAAATTCACCACATTGCTAATTTCTTCTGTAATAAACAACTACCAAATAGACGTAATCATTTCCAAGTAGGTGATGAATGGTATGAAGGGGCGGTGAAGGGTGCTGCTATGAGAAACATTACAAAATTTCATTGAACTACCATTGCGGATGAATGGCGTCCGACTGAAAATTACAACTTTGAACTTTGCCCAACTTTTCTCCCCAACATTTCTCTTCAATTTCTTTCCGCCACCCATCTGTGAGTTATGCATAGGTGTAGGAGACTGGGGAATTTGTCCTCCCAAAAATTTAGAAAATGAAGGAAATTTGGGTAAATGGTCGGGAAAATCAAGAAATATTCCGACAAATTTATCACAAATCTGTTAAGTTTATGTTAATTCATTACAATCCTCCGTAAAAAGGGACAAACTTAGAAGTGACCCTTTTCAATTAAAGAATATTAAAAGAAGAAAGAAGCATTAAAACCAAAGAGCTAAAGGGAAGGAGGCAAGGAGCTTGGGAAGGAGGCTGCAAATCAAAACGAGGAAAAGCAAATCTACATTTGTAGAAGAGTACAACACCGCGGTCAAACGTCAAGCGCATGCGCGGGTTTACGGAAATGACGAAGAAAATGTTTGAGAGTAAGTTCTGAGTTTACACCCTCGTAATTTTCTTTACACTTTCTGGCTGGAGTTTCGGGTCCTTCGAGTACAAGTAGTCGATACGCGGACGTTGAAGAGCACACGATTTTCTATTTCTGTATTTTTGTTTTGCTCTATTCATATGACTTATGCTTATGAACTTTTCTTTTTAAGGCGCACAACACATGCACAACATATGAGATACTATGGAAACCAGAAATTATCGTTGATATCCCGTGAATCGATATTTTCAATTTTTCTGCACGAGTGTTGTCCCGCGCTCTCTTCACGCAATGGAGTAGGAGGTTGGTGTGAGCTTAGTAAATGTTTACAGTAGACGGCACGGGATCACACAGATCATGTTGAAACATGGCAGTCCAAAAACACCCACGTCACTCACATTTCACTGATTAAAATGACAATGTAATGTAACATAATATCACGAATAACCTTGGAATACTGAAGTTTTTCATATGTGAAAGTTTAAATCCAAGATTGTGTTTGAGGCAAGTAATACTTATATAAAATTTGGAAAGATAACTTTTCCTTGCGTGCAAAGAAAGCAGCGTTAATTAATTTTTTTATTTTATTTCAGTCTTCATCAGACAGAATGAAACACAATACTTTTGAAATCATTTTCACTTCGTATCACTGAAAAAATACAGCTTGCCTAAAAAAATACAGCTTGCCTATGGCTATTGAGATAAATATCGCGAATTTACAATAATTACGTGCAACAAATATTGTTTATAATTACCTACCTTATGTAATACTTGAGGAATTCTAACAGGTCACTGCTGTTGAGAATACAAGACAATTGATCTAAAATATGAGAATATCGCACGTATAAATATGAAATGTAATACGTATGCGGTATGGTATACCTATCAACATGACCATGGGGTGTCTCATATTGTGAACAAATTGGATATTGAACTGGACTTTGCACTGGATTCTGGAATTTAATTCAAATTTTCATTTTACAGAAATCGCTAAATTCCTATAATTGTAACGAGTTGAAAAGGACAACAAGAACGAGCCCAAAAGGACAATATAATACGTGCTATATTATCATGCATAATCTTAATTCGAACTTCAAAGTCGAAAGGACAATTTGCCATCTGTGGCTATATATATTATGCATCTGCCAAATATAATATCCGAATATTAGCGCGATGTTTCTAATACCAGTACTGTTGGGTGCTATATTTTTAAAAATTAAAAGAACTGTTTTCGGCTATAAAAATAGTCCATATATCGTCGTTCAAGTTGGCTACCTATAAGCTTCGATACGATTATCAAGAGTGAAAATATCGCGATAATATAAAGATATCGAAATATCTATATAATAAACTCTAGCTACAAATAAAACAAGTCTATATTGACTACAACTCGGCTATGGATTTCGTTTATTTTATACATAAAAAAGTGAACAATTACTATACTCGAATTCTTTGGATTCTAAGATTTCTAGGTTGCAGTTTATAGACCTTTATAAACTCAAATAAAAAAATAAAAAAGTTGGGTCATTATTTTTTACTTGGGCTTAGTACCAACCTCGTACCCAGACTCTTTCCTTTAGGAACTTAGAGGGTTAAAGTAGTGAACAGAACACTACAGTTTCTTAAGCTCGCCGCTCAAACGAGAATGCACGAGAGCATGCTGCATGCATGGCTTCGACTTTTGGCGTCTGCCAATCTCGTACCCAGAGCAATGCCTGTGCGCGGGCTAGGATGGCATTGGCTCTGGGGAAATTGACAACCGGAACCCCTAAATTTAGGGGTTCCGGTTCTTTGTCGGCATGCACGATTGATAAACGTTAAACCAATCACAGCACAGGAGAAATTCAATTTCCCCAGAGCCAATGCTATCCTAGCCCGTGCACAGGCATTGCTCTGGGTACGAGATTGGGCGTCTGCTGGAAAGTAGACGCTATATGCATTATAGCATCTCTGGGCAGAACTGGAGATGTTGTCAACTGTATTCACTAATTCTCAGAAACACTTGTTTACGCTTATATCCATAAATGGTTTGATCATATGACAAGACTTTGCATGCATCGGACATTTCAGAATCTTGTGTGTTCACGTTTGTGCCCATAAATGGTTGGATCATATGATCAAGTGACAACACTTTAATCTTGCTTTGAATTTATCATACTATTTTACCAACATATCAAAGTACGTCGTCGATACGGTCGTTTTTTTTCACCTTTTTTGTCCATTGTTTATATTAAAATAATAAAATTATCGACTATTTTTCCCTAATTCTCCGTTTTCTTCCAGCTCGAAACAGTATAGTGTTTGTGGGAAACATTACCATTACCTTCTTTATGAATTAAATTGTGTCTCTTTCATAAATACAAGCTAACGAATATATTTAGAGTGTATATATACTATATAGTGTTGTGGTATACATGTCTTTCTCGATTGTATTGCTTAATTAATTATATATACAGTGTAGAATAATTTCATTTTTAGAAATGACCTCAACTTGCAGACATATACAGCAAACTAAAGAAATGGATGTATTATCGAAATCAGTAGGTTGCGACGACACCCTCACTTTTTTGGCTGGCCGCACGCCAACACAAGAGACACCACGTGATCGATGTATTCAAAGTACCTCGTGATTAAATATTTCCGGACCTCGTGATCACATTTTTTTGCAGAAGTGTGAAAAACTGCAAGTTTCAGTTTCACAGTTCTGGCAGGTAAATTAAATAGGTTTATAATTTTATTGTCCAATCAGGTGCGTAGTTTAGAATTTAACGCCAGAAAGTCAATGTATTCAAAGGTAAACAAGGGCAAACACGTCCGAAGGTCAATGCAAACAAAATATATGAAATATCACCACTTTGAAGGTAATAGCCGCGGTTTGGGCCTATAACGTCAGTTGAATACTAGAGCTAGGAGCCTTTAAGAAACTTTAAGAAACTTTAAGAAGCTTTTAGTACAAGCGAATAATTCAAACGATAGCTATATGTCAGTTAATATATAGTACATAAAATTTTAAAGAAAGTTGTGATATAGTTTTACAATAATATATATACAACAATACGAAGTTAGGAGTGCATGATGATGGAAGCATTGTTTTAGAAGTCCATGAAGAATATAATGCTGTATTATTATTCTTGTATTTGATAATAAATTTAAACTGAGTTTGCATTTCTAATATGAGTAATATCCAGTGATGGAAGTGTATTTCACAGTTGACTTTGAGAGCAGCTATACCAAAGGCACAGTTTACTTAATTAGTATCATCAGAGTTCCTAAGATTATATCGTGATGGTATTTGTAGGAGACTATAACGAAGTTAAATATATAGGTGCTAGTCCATGAAGAGCTTTATACGTAATCAGCATAATTTTGAAATGAATTCTGTGTCGAATTGGAAGCCAATGCAGTTCAGTCAACAGCGGTGTGATGTGGCAGAATTTATTTTCATTGTATAACGAGATATCGCGAGACGAATTTGAAACAGAACGCGCGGGAGTGCCAAAAAAGGTGTGGTCTACTGAATGATTTCAAATTTATAATATCAACGTTGACATAATGCAACTGTGCAATGGTTTCGGTCGCCTGGAAGAGACATCTCTATTTTTTGGGAAGTATCAAAATAGAATGTCCACACTTCATCTTGCATGGAAGATCACTATATACTTGACAACCGACAACAAGGATAATGTTTTGAGAGCGAATGGAATTGTTTATCAAGTACTTGCCAATAATTGCCATCATTTCAAAACAAAAAGTTAAATTTCTCAATGAATATATTCTATTTTATACTAAACATCTTCCAATGATAATATTGTATTTATATTAACTATATATTATCCACAGAAGCTATACTAATCCAAGTATTCAAAAACCTATATATTTGTATGATAATGAATATCCTAATTTCATTCTAATAAAATGGTCATTCCATGCATGTATTTTATCTATGCATTTAGCACCTTTCTGTATGCCAGCTAGACCCATAGAAATAATAGATATCTATTATCTTTATGCTCAGACATTCCATTTTGCTTATTAGCAAATTGCGTATCAGATTTTTGATTCTACAATCTAGTTCACATGAAATAGTATTTTTCATCAACCTGCATTCCCTAGAATTTCAAAAGTAGCCTACCGTTGAAAAGCTGCGTCACTAAGCTTTAAACTGAATGTACGTATAAACGGTTTGCTTTATTATTGTTTTCTAAATTTATGTTTGAATCGAGGAAAGACATTTTATACACCCTGCATGTGGCCTGTCGCCGACTCGCAGCCAAGGAACAATACAAGAATTTCGCATACTAAAATCGCTTTAAAAATTAGGTAGACAAATTCAAAAATTGTCACTGAAATTATACGAGCGAAACAACCGAGCTTTGCCCTCGATCTACCAACTTAATATGCTCGTTTGAGAAATATTGACATTTAGACGCTCATATTAACCGAGTCTAACAAGCTAAGTTTTTATGCATGAAAAATTTTATTCGCTCGTTTGTAAGTGAAGTGTAGAAGTTAAAAATCATGGGCTTTATATGACACGTATGTTTTCAACAAGTGAAGTACAAATTTTGCTCGCTGTACATATGCGTGCATGTGTTGATCTTGGATGCGGTTGAACAGCGATCTATATGTCGTGTAGCTATACATTGCAATTGTGGCGGCCAGAAAAACTGAAACATACGCAGTACACACGTTCAGTTGGCAAATCAAACTTGCCGTATGAAAACGTGTCGTAGAAAAGTAGAACACTTGCTCGACTCGATTATAAACTGGCTTTACACGAGCAATATATATATATGTATGTCGGAAACAGGCATTACTGCATATTTGCATCTGATTGTAAATTAAATGACATCAAATTCAGTTTTCCCACTGCAAAATATACCATGGCTACAGACTTTATACAATGTACACTAATTGTAACAAACATTGCTTACCTACCTTTATGTAATAACTTGAGAAATTGAGCGCAATATCGGTATTCTAACAGACCACTGCTGCTGAGAATACAAGATAATCGATCTAAATGCGAAATATCGCCTCGGTCAAGTTTTTATATTACTAAGTCATGTGAGCACACAATGAGCATGCATAGTCATATAGACTGGACGCCGAAAACATGGACTCACATACATTATTGCACTTCAACTTTCAACATATAACATTTCTGTAAATTTCATTCGTAGGGTGCAAAGCATTGACAAGCAAGCCCGACTCACATCCCTTACACAATCAATAGTTGTTCAAAAATTAAAGAGTGCTCGGATTTTTTATTTACTTTGGATTTTTGCCTTTTAATATAGCTATTTCTAATTGAGTCCTTTGACTTTGAGAGTATTATATATAAATTTCGGATTTTTTACCGGAAAGAAGCACACGTAACTCAATATGACAATAACTCTTAACTATTCGGGGAGTAATTGTTAAAATCCTCGAGCTCACTAAGGCCTGTTTCATACGTCGAATTTAACTGATTCAGACGATCGAATTTTTAATTCGTTATTAAATTCGTCAATTGTTCGACACTAAAATGGTTTCGACGCTTCATTTCATGTCTAGCGATCATGGATAACCCAGAAAAACCACGAGATCAAAAAGAGAGAACAGACTTTAACATAATTTATGCATTTAATTAGACACGACGATAATTACACGTCGTATGAAAAGAAGACGCGCTACTATGGCGTGCCAAGATGGACAATATTACTTTAGTCCATTTATATAACGTATATTTCAAATATATACTTTCAAGTCTATTTTTGTAAGCCGAAATTGCCATATATACAACAAAACAGAAATATATGCAACGAAACAGAAATATATAAAATGAAACACTCATATATAAATCGAAACACTGACCCATATATAAAACGACATTAGTATATATATAAAACGAAATATTCCAAAATATATATGAAACGAATTTTCCCAAATATATAAAACGAAATTCGTCAAATATATAGAACGGAATTCCTCAAATATATAAAACGACAATTTACTAAAATAAAACGACATTTTTGGCGGAGAAAGAGCGCGACTAATTTATCCGGAGTAAATTTTCTGTAAACCCGCTTATGCAAATATGGCGGGCAACAGAAATCTGCAAAGTTTATCAAATCTTGTGAAAACAATTTCTCGATTAAGTCAAAATAGCACAGAAACCCGTAATAGCGGGGAGATGCAAGAAATTACAGACGACGTGGAAGCAACGATACGAACGCTCTTTCCTTGAACGAATGGTCAGACAGAAGCAAACCGAAATGAAATTCGTGTGGTCGCGAACATGACGCGCTGAATACACCTGATCGTCGATACCCCGAAAACGCAGAAAGATTTGTGCCTAATCGCAAATATGGTATCAAGAAACGGCCGCCTACTTTCAAGCTACGTTGAGCAACAACAAAAATATGCTCATATAACCTGCAACACCCTGATTTCATCAGGCCCCCCGCAGTGTGTGAGAAAACATTTTCAATTCCACTTCTTTCGTGCCTCAGCCAGCGGAAAATAACCCTTCTCACATACCGCTCGAAGCGGCTGCAGCATCAGCCGCAACCATACAACGCATAGAGTTAATTTATACAGTTTATGCCTTCTGCATTTAAATATTTTTGTAAGATGAAGTAAAGAGTTTTTTTACTCATCAATGTAATTGTTCTTTGCCTTCGCAGTATACGCCACCCTCCTTGCCTCTGTAGCAGGCGGTCTGCAAAACCCAGAGCAGCTGCAGTTGTAGCACCACCAGATCGTAAACTTCGAAGTCCGTAATCTTTAGCGCTAGCATCAAGACCTTCCTTCACTAAATTTCTTTCTTGAACAACTCGCTAGAACGGCTGTATGTCATAGGTGTGCTCAGAAGTATCTGACCATATTTGGAAGGCACGAACCTCAGATACTACTGAGCACACCTATGACATACAGCCGTGCTAGCGAGTTGTTCAAGAAAGAATTACGGACTTCGCAGTTTACCTGACGATCTGCTGGTACTACACCTGCAGCTGCTCTGGGTATTGCAGACCGCCTGCTACAGAGGCAAGGAGGGTGGCGTAGTGCGAAGGAAAAGAACAATTACATTGATGAGTAAAAAAACTCTTTACTTCATCTTACAAAAATAATGCAGAAGGCATAAACTGTATGAATTAACGCTATGCGTTGTATGGCTGCGGCTGACGCTGCAGCAGCTCCCAGCGGTGTTTGAGAAGTGTTATTTTCCGCTGGCTGAGGCACGAAAGAAGCGGAAGTGCTTTCTCTCACACACTGCTGGGGGCCTGATGAAATCAGGGTGTTGCAGGTTATATGAGTATATTTTTGTTGTTGCTCAACATAGCTTGACAGTAGCCAGTAGCCAGTAGGCCGTTTCTTATACCATATTTGCGATTAGGTACGAATCTTTCTGCGTTTTCGGGGTACCGACGATCATGTGTGTTCAGCGCGTCATGTTCCGCAACCACACGAATTTCATTTCGGTTTGCTTCTGTCTGACCATTCGTTCAAGGGAAAAGCGTTCGTATCGTTGCTTCCTTGCGGGTCTCTGTGCTATTTTGACTCAATCTAGAAATTGCTTTCACAAGATTTGATAAACTTTGCAGATTTCTGTTGCCCGCCATATTTGCATAAGCGCGGTTTACAGAAAATTTACTCCGGATAAATTAGTCGCGCTCTTTCTCCGCCAAAAATGTCGTTTTATTTTAGTAAAATGTCGTTTTATATATTTGAGGAATTTCGTTTTATACATTTGACGAATTTCGTTTTATATATTTGGAAAATTCGTTTCATATATTTTGGAATATTTCGTTTTATTTATATACTATGTCGCTTTACATATGGGTGTTTCGATTTAAATATGAATGTTTCATCAGTATATATTTCTGTTTCGTTGCATATATTTCTGTTTCGTTTTATATATGGCAATTTCGGCTTACAAAAATACATTTGAAATTATATATTTGAAATATACATTATATAAATGGACGTAAAGTAATAATGTCCATCTTGGCACGCCATACGCTACAGACGTTGTATCCGTCTGACCATGCATGACGGATAAAACGTCTTGGATGAATTTAATTCATCAGACGAATTTAATTCGTTTCATACCAGTGGCGTGCTGGGTACTATTATTCAGGGGGGGCCAGTTGGCTGTCAACCAATCTGCGCCCCTATAACATAGAGTAAGGATTGAATAGAGGGGCCACTCGTGTCGGAACCTTTGAAGTTTTTGTCCTCGCGCATGTCGCCTCGCGCATGTTGGCCGCCATTTTGGGGGCGAGTCGATTTCTCACAAACAATAGTGCGTACATAAGGGGTGACAGTGAATATAGGCCCATATGGCTCAGTTATGGCCTCAAATTCAAAAATTATCCTTGAAATCGGAAAATATGAGGTAAGTAATTGTTTTTACCTTTCTTATGGCATTATTTAACCTTTTTTAAAGCCAAATTTTGATATTTTATTGTGCGACTATGGAGCCACCAAAGGCCTGTCCTGGCGTATGCCTGATGTTGTCTAAATAAGTTCAGTGATTTTCTTCTGTTTGAGATAAAATGTTGAAGAGGTTTTAATTGCTGCCGAGCGTAGCTCGGCAGCACACTAATCTCTACACGTGGTGTGCTTACCACGTGACCGCCGAGTTTATAGCCGCTACAATCTCGATTTATGTCATTCTGTCATCCACGGACGGGCCAAAACTAGCTGTTTTGATATTATTTTTTTGTTCCCGGGGGGGTTTGTTCACAACATGGCGACTGTTATAAACGGACAGAAATATAAAAATCATAAAATAATGCGAATTTCCATAAAAATTCCGAGTAATATTTGTGAAGATGAATGGGTAAATAAAGCACGGTGTTATTTTGTGTCTCTGGCGCAAGAATGATCGACAATATTTTGAATAATTCAGGTAAGGATGGCTTTATTTCGTTCTCGTATAGTGATGTAGTCGTGCCGTGTGCCCTGTCTACCTGTCTGGTGATATATTTTATAATACATGAAGGCATTTATATTTAAATCTGCTGTTTATACTTGTTTAGTCACTTTAGTGTATTAAACTTCGATATAGAGGCATTGAAACAAAATGATTTCAAGAATATATCGGCAATTATAATACCCACTGAATCACTGATCTATTCCCGACCAAATCGACAGTAATGATTAATGCCTTTATGCTGATACAAGAAGCAAATGAACTTTTAGTTTATTTGTTTGTTATGTCACTTAATATGTGCAAAGCCAAAGGCGGTGAGTATATAATAGTGTTCGGTACGTTCTATTTCTAAATGTTTATAGTTTAAAAACAAACGCGGGATGTTGTTAAATCAGGCTTAACAAGATTCCTAGAGCTACCCAGTGTGGATTGTTGTCTGCATATATGGACTTATCAGCAATTACATGTAATATAGCATATCAACTGACTTTTGTATAAGATATGACTTGTATAAGACTGCATCAGTTATATATAAAGCCTATAAACATGATTCTACTGACATAGACGACATACATTGATATATACATATGGCTGTGTTACCACAATAATGCTCACAACTTCAACTTCTTTCTAACAATATAGTTTTGCAGTTCTGACTGTTCTGAGTCTGATCTTATTCATTCAGAAATATAAGCATTGCACTGTATTCAATGGCAAGCTATCCTGGATTCCAGAGCCTTCAGTTAATAATAAATTGAAATATTGTGAAGGCTCTGGTTCAACGGGAGGATTCTTTGATTAAACTGTGCCAATCACAAAACAGAATTAGCAGTTTTAGTACAGATTTTGGGCGTGTTAACCCATTAAGCGCCAGCGCTCTCCCCTTGACGAGTAAAATCGTCTGGCGTTAGACAGAGTAAAATACTAAAGTAGGGTGCATCAGGGTGCAATGCGACCCAATGGGTTAACTAGACACATGGGCAGATAGATCAGTTAACCCATTAAGCGCCAGCACTCTCCCCTTGACGAGTAAAATCGTCTGACGTTAGACAGAGTAAAATACTGTTCAAAGTAGGGTGCATCAGGGTGCAATGCGATTCAGTGGGTTAATATAGTACATAACATAGGTCATAGACATACAGTTTCAA